GAGTTCTGGCGCATGCATTGGCATTGGTATTTTCTTATTTATTTCAGGATCTAGAACTCATAGACGTACTCTGGCGTAACGACATTGCTGCCGAGAAAGGTGCTAGACAGCTGCAGCCGGCTGATCAGTACGAGCTCGATCTACAACTGCTCACGGAAAAGAGCGTTCATGCAGTGAGTACTTTATTCTGGTCGTGTCAAAGGATGAATCTTTGGGAATTGTTGGTTAGTACACAGCGGTGCTAAGGGTAGCCACAGAGGTGCTAAGAGTAGGGCACTGACGTAGGTGAGGTACAAAATTGCTACCTGGAGGACTACTTTTGATGACAAGTTCTGGTTTGGGTGTTGCCAGTTACATGAGAAAGAACAAAAGGTCAAAAACATGATACTTTCACCGGTAGGCGGGTGGGGGTACTTTCTCGATCTCATGCACCTTTCGCGACTACCCTAGCGGAAAATAGGACGCAATGTGTATTTTTTTTGTTGTTTGATTTAAATGGCGACTTTCGTCCAAGGATTTATAGAGGGTTTATGGCTAATAAATGATGTTTGTTGCCAATGATCAAATCAACTACCGCTGATGGATGTGTTTTCTGTAGAAATATGGTAGGTGAGTTGAAAAGAAGGGCGATCAAAGAACAATTGTTGGACAGATTTGCGGTTACGGTAACACATCATGGAAGAGTAGTTGTTCATGAGTTTGAAGAACTTGTGTGCATGTTGTTTGTCCCATCATTGAATGATTTTGTTTAGGCAACTTTATATGCTGTTTTCTTCAAGGGGCAGGTCTATTCCCGAGTTTTCTGAGCTATTTCTTTTCTTTACTGGTAGGAGGTGAAGTAGTGAGCGAAAAGAAGGATCGTTCATAAACTCGACGAGGGTCTAAACTTAATCGTAGCGATCCGGCTGGAGCACGGTGGTGATTCGAGGGCACAAATACTCAATCAGAGATTGGATATTAATTGACCTGAAGGGAAAGAACTCCATGGACCAGATTCCTTTTAAATCTCGCTCCTTAACACCCTTCTGTTAAAAAAGTGATTCGGCTTTTAATTATCATGATTATCGATTGGAATGGTTCTTGCTACTATTCATTACCCCATATTTCAGCCGCTGTCCGCCGAAGAGTCATCTCGCTTTGAGGATCTGTCCCAAGGTTTATTTGAAGATTTTCTACGCAGTGCCATACGTGCTCCGTCCAGGATCAAAGGGTCAGCCACAACCAGAATCTCGTTCCGATCAGCTGTTTGGCTTCGGAGACGACCACTCAGCTAAGAGAGAGGTGTCCACGCCAACAGACGTCAGTTTTTTTTTTATCTGATTAGCTCAAACGTTCGATCAGTTAATTATTTTGGTTTAGGAAGATTTAGCTGAACTACTGGAGGACGTTTCAAAAGGAAGGAGGACAACTTGATAGGCTGACGTGCGGCGTAGGTGCATGTGCACCACCTGAATTGGAACCGTTGCCGTTAGTGAATAACGTCAGCCTCTCGGAGGGTATCGTATTCACAGCACAAAACGGTGAGATTTTAGGTTCCCAGAAAATTTATACATGTGCATACTTCGATAATTTAATAATATTTTGTGTTTGAGTTAAAATTGGTTAAAATAGTTATGGATTCGTAAAATCGTCCCTAATTGTGCTGGCTCTTCATGATCGTTTCCTATTACTTTTATGAGTAAACCCTTTTCAGTGTCGGAGATGTCAATGATGCAAGAGCAACGTCAAGCTGCGATGGCGTCGATTTGACACCTACGCCGACTCAGCGACTTTTACAATGAGACGTCCGATGGCCCAATATGTGGATGCGCCAAGCGCAGCAGACTCACTCCTAGTGATAGTAAGTTTTAAACACTTATTCTAAGGGTGAAGAATTGGGTGCCCTGGGGGCCAAATATTCCAAATTAGCAGAGTTGTGCTAAACTACACAACTTGACAGTTCTGATTGCTCGCTCTGATACCAGGGATGCGCGTCACTTTTCAGATAAGCGGTTCGTCGCGGTGCACGTCACTCTTCCTGGTTGAAGTTTTTATCTAGGAAAAAAAGCTTACGGGTATCGTAGAAAAATGCCCGAGTGTTGTGCATGCTGTGCATTGAGTTCGTGACTTTTGCAAGGGTGAAACAGTTGAAAAAAGTGGAACGTGATGATACCATACTATGGCCGACATGCCCACTCTCTATAATTGGCTGGTTCGTGCAAACAGTCAATGATCCTGTTGCCCTTCATCTCGAGAAGTGGTATTTATGGAGTTTCTGAGTTGGTAGAAAGGTTGATGGTTGCGATTCAAATAAAACTACAGCTATTAGTGGTAATATTAGTATTAGTGTGAGCGAAATGAGTCTTTTCAACATAGTGGATAGTAGCTTCAACGTAATGGGTAAAGGCGCATTTACAGTCCACAAAATAATACCCTCATCTTGTCGAAAGCTTAACCTTTCATGGGTTCAGTAGAGTTCGTTACGGGTGTATCTGAGTTTTTGGCGTCAAGTAAGACAGAAAAACCATAATGATGCAAGAGTTAAGTGCGGTTCAAGTGCGGCATGGACCGCCCGATGGCTATTCAGTTCATTGCCTTGAACAGGGTCAACCCTGCGTTGCGCAAAGAACAACGAGGGGGTCGTATTCAGCCGACCGAAAAGGGAGGGGGTCGTATCCACAACGGGCTGCAAGACGGCTTGAAAAGTGCAGTGTCCGGGAGTGCACTTTCAGCCTCTAATGTTCTCCAGGAGCTCTGCACGCTGTCGGAGAGTCACACAGACATGAGCTCCATGGGAGCATTAAAGCATGCAGAGCACTATAAGTCTCACCATCAGCTTATTATCCTTAATCGACGCTATCCGGACGGCGCTTTTGCTCCGCGGCATAGATCAAGAGTACAATAGACAATAGCCAAAAACTTTGTTACAGTGTAGTGCAAAAACATGGTCTGTCTTCGATGATGAAACATTCCTGAAATCCCGAGGAGAACAAAGTGTAGAGCAGTTCATGGGAAAGTGAAACAAGAGTGCCATATAACAGCACAATACAACTCAATCAGGATACTAACACCTTCTTCAGGAAAACAGAAGACTTTCAAATGCGAGTGCGAATTCTGCCCACAGATAGGTGCACGGCGTATACCCGAGCAGGCGTTTTCCATAAAAACGCCTCCTCTGTCAGCGGCCGTAAGCAGACAAACTTTCTGAAGAGAGTTTTGATGCTTTCAAATAAAATCTAAGCGAAACAAAGTGTAGCGAATTTGCTGAATTGAGTTCTAGAGACGCCGTAGGAAAATTGAGGCAGAAGAAGGAATTTCAGGGAAATTTCACAGTTGTTATGAAGTACTCTTCGAGTGGATTCCAACAATCTTTACCGCTTCTCATCACATTAATTTCAAAGGAAGTTATGGGCCTTTGAAGACTGCATAGTCGCGGTCCAGGAAAAAAGGCTTGAAAAAATCAAGGTGGAATTGAACGGAACAACGGGACTATTTTTTGAGCGAGTGATTATTTCAAGAAGTTTTAGCACTTATTCGAAAGCTCTAATCCTCTAGTTTCTAATTAGCCTTAGACATCTGCAAAATGTTGAGTATGAAGAAAGTTATTAACGTTTGAATGTCGAAAACTCGCGCCTTCTCAAAAATCGGACCCCAAACCACCCAAGAACGGAACAACGGGACTATTTTTTGAAAAAATGATCGCTGGAAAATTTTCAGGTGCTTGTTCGAAAGCTCTAATCTTCTAGTTTCTAATTAGCCTTAGACATTTGCAAAAAGTTGATTATGAAGAAAGTTATGAATGTTTGAATGTCAAAAACTCGCGTGTGCACAGAAAACGGAACAACGGCACGATTTTTTGAAATACTGAACATCCACAACATTTCAAATACTCCTCAGGAAGAAAACTATTTATATTTTTAAAATTTTGGTGTCCGATTTCATGAAACAGCTTCTGAAAGAAAATATAACCTTCTGAATGGAGGGGTTTGGATTGCAATGTAATTGCTACAAGGTTTAGTTTTTCAGATTATAAGGTAAGGAAAGTTGAGAGATCGAAAAAATCCTGGTGGGTTTCTGAAAGTAGAAATCTTTACGATTAAAATGATGTATTGGTTTACGCAAAAATTTGGAAAATTCCTTCTATTTAATGAATAAAACTTCATTTGCCTCGATTTCCTCCTCTGAGCGAGACAGAGCGCGCGGATTGACCACGGTCCACCACTTCTCCATGTTGGTGACTGCCATCATTGATGAGCATTGATGAGCATTAAATTATGTGAAAGACATGATAGTTAATATGGGGGGTCGTACCGATACCCCCGAAAAGGAAGGGGGTCGTAAAAATTTGGGAATTTGCGCAACGCAGGGTTGACCCTGGTTGGAAGGAGTGTTTTCTCATAATCGTGGCCGGGCAGAAGTGTAAGTAGAAAGTGACGGCAACTTACCACCAACACTGCTTGAAGATGAACCTGGATAGCAGGCCGTCCACACCAACTGAGTCATCCGTTCCGTCGGGGTCGTTATCGACCAGCTACTAAAGACAGCCTTTTACTAAATCGACCATTTTAACTTCTTGACTGCAGTAGAGTTAAATGGTCGTATAACTTATTCTGGGAGGCAAAACACTGATCGTGGATGTCTGGACACTGCAAGTCATTGTATAGGACAACTCGCATTCAAAATGCCGTTACGATCCTGATGGAAGTGGAATGCGTGGCGCATCCCACCAAGGGACTGATCATTGCCCAACAATATCTTACTACGATCGGACCAGTACTATAGTTTTTGCCATTGATGGTCTTAAATGATATGGTTACCATTTTTTGCTTCCTTCGATTAACTATCCAGTTGTCGACCAGCTACTGAAGAATACTTTTCCACTATACCCTTTTAATTACTTGGCTGCGGCCGAGGTAAATGGTCTGATTGCATTTTTAAATGGAATAATAATTGATTGCTGTTGAAGAGATTCATGTCCAAACACTGCCGGTATTCTTTCAGTCTATCCCAATAATGGCTACATGTCATTTCAAAACGACACTGGAGTACCGGTAGTGTCCACGGGCAGTCAATATGATCACCAATACCACACTAGCCTTCAGAGCAATCGCCATGATGAGGTAATTCTTCATAGAAGGTTACCTTTCTTCTTCTTTAAATTGTTGTTTTCGTTGATCTCTCCACCTATCAATAGTTCGAGGATTAAAATTTCGTTTTTAGCAATGTCGTGAGTGTGGATGCGCTTCTGGATGTAGTGTTGTTTTAGCCTCTGCGTCTCAATAAAAAGCATTTTTTCGCTGAGCTAAATAAATTAAGAGAGACACCCTCACCAGTCTTGTGAACACCTCCCTGTTTGTTCTCGCAGTTATGACGAAACTTCTTGTTGCAGAACAGAATTGGCCAAACCGCACCCATGTATGATCCGTACTATTCGGCAAGAACCACGTCATTCAGCAAGTAAGCAGTTGCACCTTTTCTGCAGTTTTAATTTTTTAGTCCTCCTATAGGCAAGGTAGGTATCGATTTTGGTGCTCATGTCCTTAGGGGGACATTGAAGTGAGTGGGCCACTGATAAACTCAGGACTAAGCTTTAGGGAGGGAAAGGATTGTGAGCAACCATTGTTCTCCCTTGTGTTTATTCCCAGTCCTGGGCTTAGTCCTAGTGTCACCTACCAGCGGTTTTTGAATGCCCTGTTCTGAATGTCCCCCCCCCTAAGGACATGAGCGTCTCGACTTTTACAAAGCAGTTTATTGATTGTTAATGTGCGCTTTGTGATGTGTAAGTTGTTGGAGAGGAACGAGTGATAAAACGGAAGGTGTAACCTAATTTGTGATTTTTAGCGAGTCATCATCTGTATGCTCGTCCTCATCTACCGCTGCTTCACCGCATTATCACAGTGAAAGCGAAAATTACAGTCCACATGCGAGCAGGTAATAGTCTGGCTTTATTTTGAATTTTTTGTACAATAAATATTCTTTGTATTTCGTATTATTGTTCAACGTTATGCTTACTTTGTTCTTCACAGATACTATGGCAAATTAGCTCCAAGAGAAGTTGACGAGACGAAGATGTATTCGCGATCCGTGTGCGGGTAAGGATTTCAGCCTTTCGTTCAGCGATGGGAGCGCGATTGCTCGTGTCCGACTAGATTAATGAATTACCTTCAGGTCAAATAGTGATAATGGCATAACCACAGTCAGCAACCTCTCTAATATGCCGCGACGTCGTGGACGTCAGTCAAAGGACGAGCAGCTGGCTGCCGCCAATCGTCTACCGCTGTCGGCTCGTGAAATTTCCGAGATGACTCTTGGAGAACTACACAAAGTGCTGAAGAACGAGAGCCTCACCGAGCATCAGAAGCAGTTGATTCGCAAAATCCGCAGACGGGGTGAGTTTTTAAAAGGATCGATCGGGTTTTTGTAATGGAATGTGCAAGGAGACGATCGTCCATTTTGAAGGAAAGAACAAGGTGGCTGCAAGAACTTGCCGTGAACGTCGCGGTGAACGTCAGCGAACCACAAAAGGAGCGGAGACGTCGTGGAATGTACCGGTTAGTTGGCTGTTAGATTCGATTTGCATGATGTACCTCCACTGGAAGGTTTTTTTTAAATGGTGGAAAGGGAAGATTTGCTGCGGACTTTTTTATGCGAAGGGGAGAAGATCCCTTTATGGAAGGTGATATAGCTACTTCCTACGAATTCGGAAGCGAGAGGTTGTAGGATAATCATGTGTGTAAAGGAGGACTAGACACCCTTGGGACTAAAACGTGTTGCTTTTGCGGCGAAGGATGCCACTGTAGGGAACTAGTAAGGCTCAGCCGGTGGTGGTCTCATGGCGCTGCAAGTTTTACTGTGACACTCCCTGAATGCAGCGCCTATTCTTAGGATGACTATGGACAGTGAATCTGCTGGGTCATCAGTCAAAGCATAATGTATGTTGGCCTGCCGGTAACTGGGTAAACTCGTTCGAATGACACCTGTCTTAGTTGCTCTTTAGTCCAGTTCGAAACCGAAGAGAAGAGTGGAGTTCCCATTTTGCTGTTACGGAGCGTTCCCTTACTATTAGCTATTTCCTCACCACTGCATCACTAACCACTTCTACTTTCTTTTCCAGTGGTGACTAAGTTATCGTACTATCTGTCTTTAAGGTAATTAGGTAGTCAAGTGAACCATGTATCGAATCACTTTGAGTATTTAGGAACTGGGCAGGGTAGATTATAGGGTTGTTCTATCTCGCAACATTCTATTCCAATGTAGCCTTTGTAAGTTCCACTTAGCATCACTGGGGTGTGACTTAAAGGCAGGGTCCGGGATTTTCCGTCAAAATTAAGCTTTCTTTGGCAAAAGTGCGGCGGATACAAGTGGGAACAGGTACAGACTTCGTTATGGCTTGACAAAGCCGCGACGCTTAAGGTCTAGGGTGCAGCAGGACCCCGCCCTACGCCTTTGACCGCGCCCATTAGGGCTATTTCGCTTTGCTGCTACTGGAGAAAGGGTTCAATTTCCAGCCTTCGTCGACTTAGCCTTTTTAACTTTCATGGTGATGCAATAGGTGACCCGATTCATAGTCCGTTCAGCTGGATGTGTATCTTTACACTCCTTACAGTGGCTTGCGAGCCTATCCAATGTTCAAATAGCCGCTTCTATCATTTCCCCAGAGATGCGCGATTTAAATAACTCTCCAAGGGCCCAAAAGCGTGGTGACTGGGTTAGGTCTGCGGTTAAGGAACCCCTACCGCTGCGCTGTGTACTTTTGTTTACATTTTCCGATTAATAATTCGATTATGAATGACATAATACATTTCAGACACATCCACCTGAGGCACCATATCAAATCCACCTCTGAAGACAGGAAGATTCGTTAGAAAAAGCAGGCTTTTGAATTCTCCGCACATTTCCTTACTGAGCCGTTTTGTCTCATTGTATATGTATTTCTTGTGAACTGTTATATCCACAGGATGCCTTTTCTGATTCAGATGATTAATCTACGTATTAAAAAAGTACGAGAAATGCTATAGGGTTCCCCTTTTCCTTTTTCACAGTTTATCGATGTATTCAAAAACGCATTTCTCGTATTTTCATCCATTTTATGCGTTTGAAGCTGTTTTGTGGGTGTTTATTTGATGTTTTCATAGCGATAATCATTATTGATACCTCTTCGACTATACCCATATTCTCTGTGGTATCCCTCGAAAACTCCTCGAAGTGTAGTTGATAGCGTCCGAGAGCTTATTTGTAGTTTTTTTTTTCAGTTTTTTTTCTTTCTAAAGTGTCGTAATGGCGTTGACCCGCACACATACACAGGCGTTCTGTGTTAGTTGTCCTGCAATTGATTTCATGCTAGTTATCCTGTATTTAGTGGTTTTTGTCATCTTACGGTCATCGGTACAATTCGTGTGCGTTATAATGGGCAATAACGACTGTGTTGCGTAGCGTAGTGAAGCGGGTAACTAATAATCCATCAAAAAGTACTGGACCTTTTTTCGTGTATCAGCATGTTCCGAATATTTTTGTGTGCTTTTAAGTCCACATTCGTACAGTTAGCCAATTTTCGTTGTTTTGTTTGGTTTTCTCCCATTTATTTTCTTTTTTTAGTTATTATACCATAATCTTTTGTTGTCGTAGAAATGAAGCGTTGAGGTGAATGTGAAGTATAAAAATATTACCATACCTGCTTTATTATTGCAATGAACGAATTATAAGGGCACATATCAAAGGGGTCATTCAAAGAAATGTTAAATGACCTCTTGTTTCCCATAATTCTTGGTTAGGTGACCTCCGAGAACTACACTACCGAGTGTTTGGTGGGCAATTTTCTGCTTTGAAGCACGACCTGCATCAAATCCCGAATGCATAATGCTGTGTTCATACTTTGCGTCATCGCGGACATTGTTGAAAGCGCCGCAACATCTTGTGGCTGTGGCGCTATTGCCGCGTTGCGCGACCGTGCGACTTTAACTTGTGTGGTGATAAAACACTGAAGTAACTAAGAATTACCGGACGCCTCAGAATCACGAAAATTTTGTGTGGGTGAAATATCATTTTCATTGGAAATCCTCTGGCCTGGCATCGACTCATCCTTGATATTTGTCTTCCGACGGTGATGATCCCACTGCATCAAAATGGCTCGATCTCTTCCACCCAGCGGGCCAATACGACCCCCCCCCCTGCGACGTGTCGAGGATTCCTCAACGCACGCTTGACCCTGCGCTATACTTGAAACAAAACCCTCAGAAA